TTTCATAGTTTCCGAAAACGGCTTGATTATTGTACAAATACGATTGAAGATCACTTCAAAAATATTTACCATTAATAGTTATCTCCTGGCTCAATTTGTCAATTTTTTTCAAATCTCAATAAGTATCTATTAGAAGTGTCCGATTCAACTGAAACTAATTTCAAATAAAAATGTCATCTTTACTCTATTCATATGTATTTTTCTTTTTTTTCCTGGCACTCATTTCAAAGTTATAAACGATTAGTTTAGGCAACTTTCTAATTGTCACCCTGTAGTAATTTAAAAAATGATTTAATTTTTTTAATGAAATTGCCCGCTGTGCAACGTTGCCGAAAACTCGATAAACGCTCCCGGGTAGTGTAAACTCGGCAATACCCGAGTCTAAATAACACGGCGGCGAATCCCCGCGGAAGTGACCGAAGTCGCAAGGTCTCATATGGTGACCAACTAGAGTTAATTCAAAATTCAAAAATATAATCACCGGACTTTTCCTAATTCCTATTGATTTTTGTGGAAGAGTTGAATTGAAATTTGCTGTTTCCATCGATTGTTCCATTCAATTGTTAACTTTCGATATCGAAATTCCTTGAAATTTCCGTAGAATTTTACGATTTTTCACAAATCTGCAATAATTTGTATAAACATCAGAACTGTCTTTAGAAAGACATAACTTAGCCTATCAAAAGAATATTATTCTCACAAAAGAAAACAATTTCCCTGCGCCCTTAGACATATTTTGAAATTCAATAACAGCTGCATTTAAATCTCCAATGCTGTTAATTGAAATTTAATTCAAATCAGATTGTTCATGAAAGCTCTCATCCATTTTTGAAATTCAACAAAATTGAGTTCTGCGTATTGGGCGATCATTGATATTTCTACGACAGTTTGAATTCTTAAATTCATTTTGAAAGCCGAACATAACTTTCAATTGAATTTCCAATAGATTGAAAATTTAAAACAATAGTCGCCTCAATTTTCCGATTTTTTATGATGAAAATTTCATTGTCGAATCGGTCTAAAAATTACGGAACAGTTCATCTAAAAACTTATATCTCCACGTATCCAGGAAATCTTCAAGACAATGATTAATTCATTTTGAAAAGTCCCGTTTCGGAATCCACCTATCCGATGAAATTACGCCTAACACCAAAGATATTTGAATTCGAAACCATATTTACTCCCTTGAAAACATCAGTTTCCTGTTTTGAAAAACACCTATCACCAAAATTCCGTTCTCCAGAACAACATGAACTACAAACTCCCGACAAAATCTCATAATTCCGGTAATCACCACCGGGGCTGCCTTTCGCCACCCCCTGCAATCCCAATTGAACAAGATCAAAGTTTAAGATACACTTAAAAAATCTCCGGAAGGAGCTGTTAAGCTCATTAGTATGGCACGTGCCGTCCAAACGTGCTGTGCGCACGTCACTCGAACGAAAAAAATTTCCGTTTTTTACGAACTCTGGCCTTCATATCCGAAGGTCCTCCACTGGTACATTTCCAAACATTTGACGTACCAACAAAGACGAACTTTAAAAAAAATAAAAACAGCCTGATAACCCCATGTATCATCCAAGACAAGAAGTGTAGGCATTGACACATTTACGTTTATGTGCTTCCTCGCATATTTACCTAGACCCGAGTGCCCCAGCTTCACCCGACCATGCACTCCAATACCTGGTGAAAATTCCCCGGGGCTAAGCACTCGAAAACATTTTTATTCAGCCCTCGAATAATACAAATCCACATTCATAAGTGGATATCTATTATTAATACCCCTCCAAAAACGCTAGTGATATTTCCCACAATTTTATGACAAAATTATTTAAATAAATTTTTAGATTTCAGGAAACTCAATACGTAAGAAATTCCTCAGTTTGACAGATTCGTTTATTTCAAGGGAGATTACTATGAATTTTTAAAGTCGTCGGATATTGAAGTGAAATTTCTCACGCATTGAAGATCGATTATATATGTCTACAAACGGATAATTAGTGCAAAAAAAATGAATTGTTTATTGCTCGTTTGCTCTGCAGACGCTTAAAATGTTAAAAATAGTCCAGGGCCTCCAATTTTTCACCTACAGAGGTATTTTTTTCTCAAAATTTTTGAAAAAATGTGTAAAATAACAATTACGAATTAGTTTTTTGAAATTCAACTCCTACACAGCTAATTTCGTTTTGTTTAATATAAAAATTTCCGCCATTCATGTAAAATAGAAAAATTATTCTTAAAAGATTAAAAATATATTCTCGATTCTTTCAGAAATATTTTCCAGGCTATTTTACGTAAATGGTGCGATTTTTTATTAAAATAATAACGGAATTAGCTATGTAGGAGTTGAATTTCAAAAAACTAATTTGTAATTGTTATTGTACATATTTTTCCAAAAATTTTGCAGAAAAGAAACTTCTGAAGCTTAGAAATTGGAGGCCTTGGACCATTTTCAACATATTAAGCATTTGTGGGGTAAACGAGCAATAAACAATTAGTTTTTTTTAGACTAATTATTCATTTTTAGACATATATAGTCAATCTTCAATGTATGAGAAATCGCATTCCAATAGCCTGCGACATTTAAAACTCATAGTAGTCTCCCTTTAATAAAAATTATGAGCTCTCGAATAACAAAAATCCACATTCATAAGTGAATATCTGTTATCAATCCCTCCACGTAGCCCTCTATGTATGTCTACTTAAGGGGAAACGGAACCCCTGTGTTAATATGAATCTTTAGAATTGTGTTTTCTCCTGCAATTATTATTTTTTATTCATTAAACTACTTCATTTACTCAACAATGCGATAATCGACGCGATAAAGTAATTTCATAGATAGAAATTAATAATTGTAGGACAAAACACAATTCTAAGATTTGATGTAGACAAAGGGGTGCCATCTCCCCTTAAGGAGAAATTCCCCAAAAAAAGAACTGATATTTCCCATAATTTTATGAAAAAATTATTTAACTGAATTTTTAGATTTTAAGAAGCTCAATACTTAAGAAATTCCTAAATCTGATAGATTCGTTTATTTGATAAAAATTATCAAAAAATTTTACGGAGAGAGGATAATTACGTCACAACTCCCTACGTGTCGTAATTGACTCATACGAGGCGCTACTTTCGCATCGGCATGAAGAATAAATTGAGGTTAATCATGGGTGGGGATCGTTCATTTGCGATCGTTAAAAAAAATACTTGACAAAGTTCTACTTCAAATTTAGATATAATTTAACGTCAATAATCGGATAAATGAAAAAAAACAAATGAGGAAATATCTCTAGCATTGGGAAAATTTTGTAGATTTTTTTTTAGACTTCAATCTGAACAATTATGAAATTTCATCATTTCATTGATTTAATAAGAATTAGGAAAAATCTTCGCAGGGCGGCACAAATGACGTCACAAGTCCCTACACTTTGTAATTGATTCATACGAGGCGTTACTTTCGCATCACCGTGAATGATACTTTGAGGTTAATCATGGGTGGCGATAATTCGTTCATTTTCGATCGTTTTTTTTGTAAAGTATAATTCGAAGTATAATTTATATAAGATTATACCTCGAATTTAAACATAATTTGGACATGAATAATGGGATAAATGAAGAAAAACAAATGAGGAAATATCCATATTATCGAAATGAATTCTTAGATTTATTAGACTTCAATCTAGGCAAAATTAGACAATCTCATTATTTCGTTCATTTAATAAAACTTATCAAAAAATTTTGCAGGGCGGGGATGATGACGTCACAACTCCATACACTTGGTAGTTGATGCACTACGAGGCGCTACTTTCGCTACACTGTTGATTCACTTTTTCCCCATTTATTCATGAAATTGTTCGAAATAGTACTCTAATTAATCTCAAGATGCAAATTCGACGACAGATGGCGTTGATAGACTAGAGATGTGACGTCGTTCAAGGTCATCTGAGAGTTTTCAACTAATAATTTTCCAATTATGTTTATTCATAAAGAAAAACAATTTACAAAATTTTCCTCCGAATCACCCTAATTTAATATAAATAATACAATAAAACGAGGAAAAGAAATCAATAAATATCCTTAAAAAAAATTAACTAATTTTCAATCAGAATCCCCAAAATGAGGCGACAAAACTCGCCGCTGGTTCGTTCAACACGAAACACCATAGTATCCTGAGACCTTTCTCTCGGGTCGGGGCTCCACCCACACGCGAGCAAAGGAAATACTCTCAAACGCTCATCGTCACATTTGTTCTGTTCTCTCCTCTCCCTCCCTCCCATTCCATCATCCACCTAGCTCCCAACCGTGTATACAACCGGCCAAGAGACGGAGAGAATTTTAAGGAGAGGGGGCCACAATCTGGCAACAGTGGCTCGCTATAACCGATATTGTGGCCGTGGATTGAATGGAGGGGAACTAGCTCAGGTCAAACCTCCCCACCCCCGTTAACACGACAACCCCTCGGGTGGCGTCCTCGTCGACCCCTCGCACCCATAAGGCCCTATCCCTCCGTCTCACTTCAATTTTCCATCCCCACTATTGGGCGTAAAACGCCGTCGCACGGTGCCAGCATTCCCACTACCCTACCCCTTCGGAACGTCGACAGACCGACGCTTCACTTCTCTCTTCTCTCTCCTGCCCACCCCGCCCCTCTCATCCCCCCTGGCTTCCCCTCTTCCGCCGGCCACTGCCAGCTTGTTCACGTTCCACACGCACCTCTCTGTATTGGTACTGTAGTAGTTCGCCCCTCGCTCCGCTTCGTCCTCTGCCGTGTGTCGTCGCTGCTGTGCTGCTGCTGTTGCCGCCGCCGCAACTCCCACCATCACTACCTTAATGTCGTCTCGCTCGCACTCATGGAGTGGAGAATAGGGCTGTCTCCCTCGGTAGATGCGCGCTGGGCAGAGGGTCGCCGGCGGGGGAACACGAGGGAGACGAAGAGAGACGAAGGGTTTGCGACGACGACAACGAATCGACGGTAGAACAGGGACAGACACACGCCGCAGGCACCGGGGGCTACAACCAGCCGCCCGTTGGCTTCAACAACCTCTCACCAGACAGTATTACTTTCAACCGTTTAGCGCGCACGCCGGGTCGAGGAGACACCGCAGAAGAATATTATGCTCACCCGGATATTTTAGAGTTTTTTTTCTCTCCTTGATGGACTTTATTGCTGATAAGGATTATTTTTTAATTGTTTGGTGGATGAGAATTTTTGAGGGGATTTATGGCGGGATTTTTTGATTAGGAGTTGATGATAATTGAAGGATGACAGGAGTTTTGATGTTTTGAGGAATTGGAGATCTATACTACCTCGTCATTCAAGAAAGCCTCGAGTTATTGACTGTTGGATTCAATGAGGCGTGTGATTTTTATAATTTTTTGAAGGATTTTAATTCTTGACTTTTCCATTCCGAGTGGCAATTTTTCAAGTGGGAACTTGTATTTTTTTTGTGTACTTTGATTGGATATTTGTGAGTGGATTTATACTTCATTGACAAATTGATTTTTTTTAAATTGTGCACGTGATGCCCAAGTGACAGGAATTAATATTCCTATTGATATATTTTTTGTTGTGTCTGTTGTGGTGAGTGATAACAAGTACCCCAATATTTTGGATTATATACGGTTGATATTCAACGTGCGTGGTGAAACAGGGAGAAAAGTCACGGGGATAATAACCCAGTAATTTACGTGCCTCAGGTGAGCATTAATCGATTCATGTATTTTTAGACAACTTGTGGATTGCGAAGTTGTTTAAGTGAGCAGGAATTGTTGGTGGTGGTTAAACCACTTCATGGTAGTTTTGTTGTACGAGAGAGTGACATAACTTGACAACTTGCCGGTTTTGATATTCTCAGGTTAAGGGGAAATAAGTCTTTGCACACAAATCATTTTTATTCGAGAATAATGGATTGATTTTTTTATGAATCTTCCAGACAATACGTTTTAGTTTTCAGGGATATATGCGTAATTTTTAGAGATTGTCATTGAAAATTAGTGACAAAATCACGATGTTAGAATTTCCCTAGAAACTAAAACTTTTTATTTCTTTCTGTCTTGAAACTTTCTTTTTGTTTCGTGTGCACAGTCGATAGAAATGATGATTAAAGCCGAACATCTCTCATTTCCCTAGTTGATTCCTCTTTTATTATGTTCGGATTTTCGTGGATAAATTTTTTCACTCGACAACTCCCAGAGCAAGTATGAAACTGAAACTAGCGAAAGTTTTGATGTAGGTGAATCTAGGGATGTATAAATATTTTCAAGTCACACACAAAGTTATTTGCACTTGAGAAAAGTTTGCACATATTCTTTGACCCTTAAACCCCCAAAAATCTCCTAAATTGAATTTTTTGCAGTCGAATGTTCGGCTAATTTCAGCTTCATAGAGTACGGTGGTACCAGGGAAAATAATAAACTAAAGCTGAACATCTCGTTCTTCCTCCATTATATTCAGATTTTGATGCATAAATTGTTTCATTTGACAACTCTCAGAGTAGGTAAAGGTAAAATAATAAACCAAAGGGTGAATGAACAATGTTTTAAAACAATTTAATAGCTTTCACAACTGTCTAAACATGGAAATTCATCACTGAACGATGAATCAACGGTACAAGAGGGGGGGATTTACACTCGTGGGTAATACTCACTTTATCGTTGGTTATGTACAAAACGATGGAAATGGGTACGATATAGACAGAGACAGACGGATGTAGAAAATACGGTCTCGGTGCGATGCAGCCGGCTAAGTTAGCTTTCACAACGGGTGATTGTTCTTAAGATGTGTCAGAGAGTCACGTATAACCAATTCGTAATCTTCGATTGCCTGGTAGGTCACACAATGTGTGATGTTTATCCTTCGTTTACTTTTTTTTCTTCAGTCTTCAATAACTCGGCTCAATTTTCCTGGAAAGAAATCTAGTGAGCTAGCGAATGCTCAACTTTATTCAATTATAAAATATTATTCTACTCAACATTGACGGAGCGACAAGTCAGGCGATCTGCATTTTCTCTTCTCCAGACCTGAAAAAAATGAAATAATTAAATGAGGGAAAAAGACACTAAAAAAAATTATAATGTATGAAAAGTTGTCAAATGAATTGGTAATTTTCGATTGCAGGGTAGTTCACACAATGTGTGATGTTCATGCTTCGTTTATTTTTTTTCTCGTCTTCAATAGCACGGCTCAATTTTCCTGGAAAGAAATCTAGTGAGTGAGTGAATGTTCAAATTTATTCAATTATAAAATTATAAAATACTATTTTACTCAACATTTGCTCGGGTTTCATCGGATCAACGCGACAGGTGAGGTGATTTTTATTTTCTCTTCCCCAGACCTGAAAAAAATGGAATAATGAAATGAGGAAAAAACACTGGGGAAAAATATAACGTATGAAAATCGAAGGAGAATGGTGCGTAATGTGCGTCCTCGGCGATAACACAAATCGATACGAGGACGCTCGAGCACTGCTTATCGGCTGTTTGGCGGTGAAGCACAGCCGTTTTAATTCAACGCAGTGGGTTTATGACCATTTTTAGTTCAGATTTTTCTTGTACAAAACTCCACACTATCTGTAATGTTTTGTTGTTTTTTTTTCGAGGAGATTTCCGTGTAGACTCATTGCTGCTGATAAACTCATTCGATTACACCTGAAAATTGCTGTCAACAGTCTAGTTGCGTTCATAATTTTTTGTAATTACTTGGGCTAATTAGCTTGGTGACTGTTTACACGTTCGCTTTAATTTTTTAGTGAGGAAGAAGATAAAAATTGTGTAGGAGGAGTTGGGGTTGTTATCTTCGAGGATAATTGAATGGTCTCGGGTTGTTGATTATTTCGATGTTAATATCTTTGATTAAAAAGTCGGCACGTTACGGTATTCGATCTAGTTCCCATGGGGATCAATATCATCGGGCTTTCACTCCAACGACCAATAGGAAACAAAGATGTTGGTCAATAGATATGGAATGTTATCATCGTGAATATTGAAACAATGTCGATGAAAAATAACTAATCTCATTGCTTTCTCTTCATTATGAAATTAGGACGGATACTTTTGGAAAAAAAGTTGAATTCAGGGACAGTTGACTAATAATTTTCAGGAGAGTAACACTGGAATTTGATTCCGTTTGAAAAAATCATGAAAGTCGAGATTTCACTAAAAATTTAATAAATTTCAATTTTCATCTTAATTTTTAAAATTTCTATTGATTTCTCCTTAAAATTTTGATTTTTCAAGGACGAAATTTCATGAAATTTCAACCAAAAATTTTTAACAATGTAATATATTGAAATAATATCAATTAGAAATTTCTAATCTCATTTCATTTCCTCTTCATCGTGAAATTATAACGACTACATCGAGGGGAAAGAGGAGAATAATCTTAAGAATAGTAATATGTACGTTATAAAACGAAGCATGACGCGTGGAGTACCCGGCGAGGTCGCGAATGAATGAACGAGCAAGAGCGGAGGGTCTCGACGGGGGTGCGAGACAGAACGAGAAGCGGGAGAGAGGAAGTTTTTTCTGATTTTTTTCCCCGCCCACTCCTTTTTTCCGCTCAACCACGGTGAAATTTCAAAGCGTCCTTGATACGTCCTTTAATCGAGTCGAGTGTTTTGACGCGGTTGATAGGTCGTTAAAGTGGCCGAACGAAAACCATATTAAACGTATTTACACCGGAGTACCAGTGGGTAATTATGGAGACGAGGAGAGGTAAAAAGTTTAATGAAATAATTTGATTTCGGGATTAATTGACCTGTTGATATGCGTGTGGATGTATTTTTGACTTATTGTTAGTTGTTATTGGATTTCAGAAGCTTGTGAAGATCGGGGCTAAAACATTGAAGACGAAAATATTTTTATGATGATTTAAACAAATGAACTTTCAAATTGGAACTTGTGGAAACTCGAAAACGGCAAAGTATAATTTACAAATTCTTTGTTTTTCATTTTAAAGATATCTTTTAAGGCTTCAAAATGAGATTTGAATCACCCAGATCGCGTCATTTGGTCACGAGATATCCATAATTAAAGAGGGACCATTTTTACTCGCTCGGAATTTTTGAAGTTAGAATATTGACAAAAATACTTAGAAGAAAATGTTGAAAGACTTTTTAGTACAGAATTTAGAGATCTTCAAAAAAGGTATTCTGAGTAATTTTCGTAATAAAAATATTTATGTTAATCAATATGTTAGGGAGACTCAGACGCTACGTCTAGAGACAAAATGCGCGAGTAATACCTGTTTAACATCAATATAAATATCGTTTCAATCATCATTGCATAATAGTTCAGGTTGGGGGTTGAGATAGAAACATTTTACTGATGAATTTACCGGATGAATTTGCAAAATTTTAAAGAGGAAAAATTGCCTTTGGCCTTAATGCGCAGCTACTTCGAGAGTAAAACATCTACGTGAAAATACCACACGACTTTTTTTGTAGCTGGCGAAATTCTCCACAAAAAAGGTTTTTTGATAATTTCTCGTAACCCTATTGGCTTCCGAGATGCTATCAAAATAAAAACATTTACATCCGCCGAAGTGGCTGAGAGGTAATGTAAGCATGAGTTAGAGAGACTTGGACGCGCCAATGACTACGTGTCTCTCCCATCTAACCTTCACTCTTCTCATCACTCACAAAGAATTTCCCACCTCAAGGTCGTTTATCCCCGTTCCCGTTCAGTCCTTATCAATCCCAAAAAAACTACTTCCATTATTCATTGGATTTTAATTCATACCGCAAAAACAGAAACATCTCAATTACATTTCCTCCACCAGTGACTCTCACGAAACTTCCCGCTACGCAAAATTCAAATTTCACGGTGAATTCGTTCCACGACGAGAGAAAGAGGGATGACGCATGTATACGATGAAATAGGGGAGGGGAGCGAGACCTTCGGTGTCAAATGACCCCCTCCTCATGATTCTCAAACCATTACATGTTTTTTTCTCTCCATAGTGTCCCAAGGTGAGATGCAATTATATTTTTGTAATTGTATTTGTGGTTATGTAATGAAGACGATCGAGAGTGGACTCGTGTCCTCAGTAAAAATCGACCTCGCCTCTTGCACGCACTTTTATTTATTTGCCTCGATGACAAATACTTGTCCAGTGAAAAAAATTACATAATCAAAAAACTATCTTCTTCAAGGTTCAAAGACATTTTTTTCATTTTTGAAGAATTTTTTTCATTCGGGAACAATTCGGTAGCGAAGCGGTAAAACGGTTCAAGTCAATTTGGCCACTAGCGAAAGCCCCTAGCTGAGTTTTCGAGGAATATCGTCGAATCTGATGGCGATAGTGAAATTGTCATAAGAACCTTTTTTGTAGAGCGAGTTGAGTGCTAGAAAAAAGGTTATAACAAAAATTTTGCTATCTTCCTTAGATTTCGAGATATTCATTGAAAACTGGTCAATAGTCAAAATCGACTTAGACCGCTTTATCGTTTCACTACTGAACTTTTTGGTGATTGAAAAAAAACGACCCGTTTTGTCCAAGTAGTTTCGAAAATTTTGCAAAAATTGAATCTGGAAAGTTATTTTAATGTATTGTTTCTCACAATTCCTAGTCTGGGAAATGGGATTCCATACTTCCCACACTCGGAAACTTGAAAATCACAACAAAAAAATATTCACCCGGGACTGCTGCCATGGGATTTTTTACACGTGTGGTTGGCCAGGCCTCGCCTTCGGCTCGGACGCCAACGCCACACGAGTAAAAAACCCCATCCCAACAGCCCGGAAAAATACAATTTTTTTATTCCATTATTCATGCCAAATTATGTCTAAATGTGAAGTATAACTTTGCAAATAGTTTTTTTTATTAAAAAAATAATTGGAAAATGATCATTTAAAAAGGCTCAGATGCCCTTGAATGACATCACACCTCACGTCCGTCAACGCCGTCTCCAGTCAAATTTGGTTCTTGAGAAATGAAATCAGCGCAGTCGAGGGAAGTGAGGTTGTGTGGTTTTGAGATCATCAATAGGCAACTTGCAAGAAGCTCAATTTTTCCTAATTCCCCGATTCTTGCGTTCTGAATAACTCATAAATCTCTGAACAAGTCCAATTATGGAAAAATATTGCCTAGATATTTCGTAGTAATTAATTGAAAATGAACAGTTTTCGAACTCAACTTTTTGGCCATGACGTCACAACTCCGGTTGTCTAACACTCCGTTAGCTGAGTGTGAAACGAGTGGGGAGTCGTCGTCCTCCATTGGCCGAGGTACAAGTCCAGAGTAGGTTAGGTTGGCTCGTGCCACCTTGTAATTAGTCCAGCGCTCGTGCGTGTACGTGACGTCATGAGCGTTTCTCGATCGTTGGAAATCTTCAACTTTTGATAATTAATTACTTACTAAGGATATTCAAGTTCTTTGGCTATTTTTTCTCCAGGGAAATGTTCTGCTACTTTTGTAGTCGAACTTAAAAATTTTTATTTGACCCCTTTAACTTCAGGACTGAATTTGAATTTTGATATTAAACGGCAGAAAAAATTTTTTTAATCTGAAAAAAAATTAGAAAGTTTGCTTTTGGAGGAATTGATTGATGAAATGATTAAAAAATTGCAATTTTTGAGAATTACGACCATTTTTTATAAATAATTTATAAACAATCCATTCTCCATCATAAAAATCATTTGTTCGGAATCGTAACGAATTTATTCACATTCAGAATTCAACCAGAAATCGATTTCATGTCTACAAAAATTAGGTTTCCAAAAGTTTAAACAATTTCAATTATTTATTTATAAAAGACAAATGTTTAAAACAATAATAATTTTGTGTAAAATGTAATTTTAATGATGCTGAATAGTCATGATTTTTTTTTCAAATCTTTCCCATACTTGGATATCCTTAATGAGCAATATTTAGAACCTTTATAATTGAATTTTTCAGACTTCAAAATTGACATTGAAAATTTTTTAAAAAAAGTGTAATTTTTCTATTAGAGCATTAACAACCTGACGATTAACCTCACTTTATGCTTGACACTGGAGCGGACGTAGCGCCTCATAGTGAGTCCTAAAACTACGAAGTTTAGAGAGTGTGACGTTACTATCTCGTTCATGAAATAATTTTTTATAATTTTTATTAAATAAACTTGATGATAAAATTGTGACATTTCTTACTCATTAAGCTTCTTGAAATCTAAACAATTCATTTCAATAATTTCGTTATAAAAAAAATTCTAGGAAATATATTTGTGAATAGTTCCTCATTCATGTCATTTTTTTCCTCGAGGGGAAGGAAAAATATCGCGTGGCAACGACGCGATCTCGAGGGTTATGCCTGTCAACTGTCATTCGTCACTTTGCCCGTGATCCTGCGCATGCGCAGACATTGCGAGGGGTCCTTACCGATTTTTCACATGAAATACTGCATGAAAGGAAGAAACAAGGAGTTTTCGAGCGCGGGAAAAAATTAGGTCTCTGACTCATCATATTTCATTAATATATTCAACAATTTTTTCTCTTTGTTACCGAAGAACCAAAGATTTATATAATGGTCAAGGGGTTAAGAGCTCTGAGAAAGTTGGCAGTGCGACGATTGGGCCCCGTTCGTGCTTCCGTGATTTCGTCATTCGTCCAATCAGCTTCACCTCCAAAACAACTTTCTCCCGAACTTCCAATGACGAACTACTGCTGAGGGGGTTTAATACGAGTAAACACCTTTGTCGCGTTACGAGACCCATCAGTAGAGGGGAAATTAAATAGTAGAGAAGGGGGAGTTATTGTGGTATTGGGTCTCAGGCGTAAATGGGACTCGTTGTGGGAATGAGCTCTTCTCTCTCTCGTAGATGTTCTGTTATGTTCATTTCCGGTGGGGGCTACTCACATGGATTTTTTCAAGATCATTCAACTATTGGTTTGGATGTTCACAACTGAATTGGAATATTCTACACTGTTAGAAAGTTTTTGAAATTTAAGTAACAGATGCATTTGAATTTTCAATATTCGGAATTTGAATTCAATTTTAGACTAAATTGTTCATAGAATTCCTGATTCATCTTGGAAATTCAATAAAATTAAGTTTTTCATGATGAATGATCATTGAATTTTCAATGACAACTTGGATTTTTACACCTATCGCGAAAATTAAACATTTCAATTGAATTTTCAAGAGATTAAAATTTCAGAAGAAAAGTTGCCTGAATTTTCACGATTTTCAGTAATTTTCATTGTCGTATGAACCTGAGAGATCAAATTTCATTGAATATTCAAGAAAATTGACTCACTTATCAATAACAAGATCAATGGAAATTTTTCGTTGTTAAAAATTTCAAGATTTTTTACTTGAAATTTCAAGAGTAATTTTCTAACAGAGTAACATAAAAAAATTCGGGGCGAGTTAAAACGGGCCCTTCTGTATTATCATTATCTCTTGCCGAAATTACGCGATTTGGACGAGTCAGAACTCATTTTTCATCCTGAAAAAATACCTTCAAAACGAGAGAAAGCCTAGACCTCGAAACATTTTTTTTTCATCACTTGATTAGTCACAAAAGCAAAACAAAATTCATACAATAGAGATCTCTTTATTCTCTGTGACCCAACACTAGCATTCATTTCTGAACTGTAAACAAACTCTCAAAAATTTCCATCCACTCGAGCAGAAAATATCGTTTAATCGTCTAGGAATCTGTTGTTTTCGTTTCATACGAGTAACTCATTGATTTTTTTTAAACAATAATTCATATTCATGCGAGGGGTAATGAACAAAATCGAAGAGATGGTTGACCTCGACACGTCTTGGCATAGGGAGTCCCGTTGTTGGGTGCCCTCACCGTTGTTCGACTTCTCTTGTGGTTTCGGTTGGGTTGTTGGGTCCGCTCTTAAGTCTGGAATTCTCCCCCTCCTCCAACTCGTGTTCGTTATTATCGACGACCTCGAAAGCCTTGTGCACTTGAGCAATACACGCATGTTGTGATGTACGAGTGATCGAGGTTTATCGACGAAAATACACTGTTGAAAGAAAATTGAAATTTAATGGACAGTCGGGTAGTCAGGTTGCTTTCAGGAGAGTGATATTGAAATGGATTTGCGAAGAAAAATCCTAAATTATCCTCCCTGAAAATTCCTTTATTAAAAAATAGGTGAAACATTTTTGGTCAGCAATCTATTTCGCCAAGCATATGCTAGACTTAAGAATATTTCAAGTTTATCTTAGCTTATCAATAAAAAATCCTTGTTTATATAAAATATAAATATAAAAATATGTAATATAAAATATATAAAATCATGATAATGTTATTAATAGCAATAAAATTTATATATTATGTATATAATGTATTATTATTCTATACATTTTATATATAAATAAGTATTTTCTATGCACAAACTAAGATAAACTTGAAATATTCCTAAGTCTAGCATAGGCTTGGCGAAATAGATTTCTGACTGAAAATATTTCATCCATTTTTTAATAGAGGATTGACATGAAAATTGGTGAACAGTTCTTCGAAAAAGCTTACATTTTCACACTTGGAAAACACACCTGATTTCATAAACAACGGGGATTTTTCGTCGTCAAAATTTTTAAAGATCATTTTCTCAAATTTTTTTTCAAATCTGAACATAATAAAAGCGGACATTAACTCATTCTCCATGAATAAATGAATACATAATGATCAAGAATAATATGCAGAAACGAGTAGCCAATCATGCACGGGCGAAGCACGCCCCCTTTCCTAGTATATGAAATTCCTAATTTTTTAACAGCAAGAATGCGAGAATTCCTCTTAAAACATTAATATTCATGACCAAATTTTGCTGAATTTCCCTGATTTCTAGTAATTTTCATGGAATAATTGAACTGAAATTTCAGCTAAAAATTGTATTTACAGTTTATTATTACAGTTTATTCACGCGAAACAAGTAATTAAAAAATTCACAAAATCAACAATTCAACTCACAACATTAAGAAAAAAGAAATTAAAAATTAACTGTTACTTGAATTTTCAAAAATTTCCAAATGCGAAGTTTTCGATATGTAAGACTGAAAAAAGACCATATAGAAATTATAGATCAATTGTCACGTCTGTAATTATTCAATTTGATGAATCAACTCAATCAAAGAATAAAATTCAGTCGAAAAAAACCAATGGAAAACACTCAACCGTAAACTGCATTTTTTTCTCAATACCATCGATTTTTCTGGTAAAGACTAGTTTGAAAACTACCTATACTCCATTAATACCCACTTTACCCCCTCTTTCAATGTATAAACTTGCGTACACGCGATATTCGCTCAGTAACCTCAAAATAGATCTGGTTATTTCGATGAAGGCAAATTGAAGGAAAAAAAGCCCTCGACCCGAGTAAATAGCTGGGATTTTGCCTGATTCATTTTATTCATACGAAAATTGACACGAATTTTTTGCGCCGATAAATAATGAAAAATTAATGATTCCTAGCAACCTCAAAACGTCTGCATGACGTCATAATGCTGAAGTTTTCAATTCCACAACTTTCCAAAATAGAAAAACGGGTGTTTAACATTTTCTTAGCAATTTTCGTAGTTGACAATCTTATTGAATAAAAAAATTTAATCTAACAACTTAACTTGCCGATTGATGTTGAGGAGGGAAACCTGAAGATAAAATATTAAAAAACAGCCTTGTGGTATTGAAAATTATCAGGAAAATTGAATTATCACTGGGTCATAAATACTTATCTCACACTGTTGAATATCTATCTGTTGTTTTTTCCTTTTTTTTCTTCCAGCTTGATGCACTGTCGTTTAAATCACGAAACGACGCGACGGCTAGTTATTATATCGACTTCCATATCCGAGCCAATTGTTATCGCAGCATAACTTATATATACATGTGACTCTTTTGCGTAACGGTCTATCCTGGCCATTTATTATGCCTCGGGGTACCGATTGATTGCATAATAAGCTGTCGTGTGTTCCTTTATTACGTGCAATTTTTCAACATTTTGTCGCTCGGAAATTTTGAAACGAGTCGAAAATATCAACGAGACTGGGGNGGGGGGGGGGGGAATGGCTTGTGTGTCACTTCCACTCGGTGAAGTCTACTTTTCACTTGAATCTTATATTATTAAATTGGTAATGCACCTGAAGGAGAGACTCAACTCAAGAATTGATCCGCTAAGAAAATTAGTGGGAGGGGGAGGAAATTTCATTGGCTTTCTCCAAGGTTGCGTGAAAGTTTCAGCAAACTATCACAATTCCTCTTTTTTTTGCTCCCCTCTCTACATATTTTCACATGCATTTCTCCATACTTTTCCTTCTAGTTTATTTGTTGAGACGAACAAATAGGGGAATCAACTTTGTGAGGGTAGGCCGGTTTCATTTATCTAGGGGATAAAATTCCAAAATTCACCGAAATTTCGAAATTTTATATTCCAATGGGAACTTTCAATTTTGTTTCATTTATTAAAGGAAAGTCAGGAAAATTTCCGTGAATTTATTATTGAATTTTGGATTAGTTCAAGATTTAAGTTAGTTATATAGCAACTGTGTTATTATGTTCAATTGAAAATCAAAATAAGTTGTGAAATTTTAGATGGAGTGAGAAATAAGAATAATAATTTTCTGAATTTTCACAATTGTTAATATTTTTCATGAAATGCTCCAGAAATTAACTGATTTGTTGGGAATTTCAAGGTTTTTTCTATATAGAAATAAATTAGCTGATGGGTCAGAACTGAGACTGGTTTGACAGCAAAATTCGTTGATTTATTTCGCTCTTTAGATCGCAAGGTCGACTATATTCATCATAATACTATCAAAATGGTTAACTTTAAGAGTTTTCAAGATTATCTCCATTAAAAAATTGTAAATAATCCAAAATCTCCCGAAGCACCGTAAAATACCCCAATCTTTCGAGCAAAAAATTCCAAAAAATTTTGTCATTGAAATTTTCCAATTTGACGTAAAAAATTTATGAAAACTGCAACTTTCAATTCCACTCGAGTATTAATTGTTGAAAATTTAGCGCATTTTGATACTGAATATCCAAGTTTTAATTAAAAATTCCAGTAAATTGAAGTTTTTTCGTCTTCTTACTGTTCAAAAATCACAAATTCCATTGAAGTTCCAGTGAAATTTGAAATTTCAGGATTTTTCGAAAATTAAAATGAAATTTTTTTTTTTAATAGTGTTGATTCGCCTCGCAATTTTGTTGCATTCAACCAAGAAAAAAAAATATTTTTGAGTCAAGAGAGTTCATCTGGAGCAGATGTTATTTCCGTTCCGTATATAACGATGTTTCGATGAACAGGGGCGGGGAGGTGGTGGCGTTGGAAGACCCCGTGTGCAACACGTGTTGCAAAGAGGAATTCATGTATTTTGGTCGCGCGCGCGCACGCCGTCTTGTGGAAAATGCCCCACTCCACCTAGTTTTCTTTCGACGGCGAGTGGTGGGGAAGGGGAGACGCTTCCGCGGTATTTTTGGGGGCAATAGTTGCGCCTTGTACATATGCTTGCGGCGTTGCTTGAAACAAATAGATATAATTTTAGTCTATTGGGAGGGGGGAGGTGCACTCGATCGACTTCTCGGCGTCTTCGATTAATTTAACGGAGAGTTGACGGGAAAAAAAAACATTGCAGTGGGAGGACAGGGGGACGGAGTGGGAGCGTGTGCGCTCGCGCGACCGCTAATTTTAGAGTTTAAACACAAAGTCATGCCGGGTGCCACGAGCCCGCCTGTTTTTACGAGTATATAACAGCCGATGCGTGCGTTGAAGAGATTCTCGCCGGGAGTGATGGGGTTTTAGGAGGGGGAGTGAGTAAAATACGAGAGGAGTTGGGTGACGGGATTGGGCTTATTGACGGTTTATTGTTCATAGAAATAGGTTGGGTGGGGGGGAGGAAGTTTGGAGTGACCCGAATTCAGAGGAGGATCAATCGTTTTTTCGAGAATTGAGAGATTTTTGGGACGATAGTAAAGGTTTTGAGGAAGAGATTTCAGCATTTTTATTCCAAATTTATAATTATAACTTTCTTGAACAATTTTCACTACATGAACCGGGAAAATGACGCATTTGAATTGAATAAAACTGTATTCGAAATTTTTTAATTCATTTCAACAATATTTTGGTGGAAATTGATAAATTTTTTTTTTTTTTTCAAGGAAAATTTTTCAATTTTAATTTTTACTTTATTACGAGTCCATATAGAGTCGATGCGTGCGTGAAGGAGACTCAGGGGAAGACTTATGGGAGGTTTTAGGAGGGGGAGTGATTAAAATACGAGAGCAGTTGGGTGATGGGACCTATTAACGGGTTAATGTTAATAGAAATT